AAGACTGGCGAGCAGAGGCGCACTGAAAATCATCACAAGTGAGTAAACGTCGCATGTATATCATCCTAAAATTACTGGAAATAAAGTGAATTGGTGAAAGCCAAATTGTTCTCGCCATGGAGACTGGATTTATTGTTCCGGGTAAGATACCATTTAATGATATCTCGAGTTTAATTTGAGATGGCTTTCATTTGTGCATCGAGTTTGGGAGTTAGCATTTGCTAGCTAATTACCTCATTCAACGTATTCTCTTATTCGCTCGCTAAGCACCAAGGTCAAGGGAAAGTTATAATCGTTTGGTATCAACGCTTATTGCAGAGCTTGAATAGCCAGTAGAACTGGCTTATCAGAGTTAAGTTCATAAAAATGTCATCATAAAACAGAAGGGATAGAAACTAATGTGTTTGAACAAAATGACGTAGTATACATCATTGAACTTGTATAATAGCGTTTTGTCTCAGTGAGCAGCTAATCGATATACTTTTAACCATAAAACATCGTCCGCTACAAGCTGAGTCCTCATGTAAAACATTGATCTTTGAGTGTTATTAATGTCAAGAGATTACATGCCAATGTCGCCATGGAAACGTAGCTCAATAAGGGCGCAAAAATTAATTTGTCCTCGTGATAAACGAGGGCATGAAAAGTAGGTTAGGCTATGGGTTCTTGCGCACATGTCGCACATTATCCAGTACCTTGAGTGTTTATATTTATTAGCTGTTAACATCCATTTTGTCATCACACGTCGATTTTTGTAATGTTTATGCTTGTTACATAGCTTTTATCGCAGTTTATAAGTACTTTGACGTAGTAGTTGTTCACTACCTGGATAAATGTTAGATCAACTTAAATGTGGTTATTTGTGTGAATCTGAACTCAGCCAGATGAAATGCTCTATCTATGGAATCAGAGAAAGGCAGTCATCAGAATTTTTGGACAAAAGTGAACTCTAAACACCTTCGATTTATCACCCTAATGGATGTTGATGAACAAGGATATCTGGTGGTTGTTTAGTAAATGCAGTTTGAGGCAATTCTTTGCCAAACTATTTTTCAATATTATATAGTTTTCTAGTATACAAAGATAAAGAGTTCTAACCATTGTGCAAATCATCGTTTTTGACAGAACTGTCATATTGGTATGTAACTTATCTGAGGAAGAAAAATTTTCTACGGACGATAATTGATGTCGAATGCCTCTTCTGCTCACTTTCTGAACACATACAGCAACTGTATATAACATTATTGTGAGCATCACATTGATTAGTCACATATTCGTCATAAGCAAAACGATTCACTTTTGTCTAGAACATGGTAACTAAACTATGTTGTTAGTTAACCTTAATTTATGGTGCCTGTTATAGAGTTAAGAAATGAATTTCTGTAGACAGATTTTGGAACCCCTGACAAAATTATAAACACAGATCGAATGCATATGTATAAGTAATATCTAAATTGTGTTTTACGGTGATTTCAAATTGCATGTGAACTGTGATTTACTGTCAGCATTATGAGGGTTGTAATTGGATTTCTTTCAAATTTCATGTGAATCAGTTTGAAGATGCCACAGGTACTCGGAGTTTGACAGCGCTGTAACTAGTAACACCTTCTATTATGAATCGTACTCACCAAGTGAAATCAAAAGACAGAAGCGAGGAGGTTCGAAGATATATTCGGTAGGCTTTCAATATATCGAGGATCGTCTGATCTAATCTGGCCAGCGATTGCAGTAGATTTTGAGCACGGCGTTCTCACTCGCGATCTGGTGTGAATGCATAACCGAGCGCCTTCAGCTGTGTGAGTTCATTAAAACTAGTGTGGTCAGCTTCCAATGTCGAAGACTTACATAGCTATTTATTTAGGGGATTTATTCACCTCTACAAGTTTACGCGTTGTATAAAATCGCTTTGTAAGTACTAAATGACTAGGTGAAAGTCTAGGAGGGTTATAGAATGAAAGGCATTTTTTACAACAATACACATAGCTACATTTTGTAAGTTGGTATTCCGTTCAATTATTGAATTCTATATTCGTAACGAAGTTTAACCGTTTGTTTCATGGCTGATCTTTTGTTTTTTTAGAGTTGCATTGCTGAGCTCATAAGCCATCCATATGTTTTTCGATATGCAACCTGTGGCTCCTGTCAGCTAATTGAAAGGCTGAAACTCTCCTGACATTCAAGCCTATAACAGTGAACAACTCAACGAATTTCTGTAAATGGAAAAGTATGTGGATGGACAACTTACATGTTGATGATAACTATGCTTAATATTGACAGCTTCTATGTTCATTTACGTAATAAATTATTTAAATTTAAATGTAACAAGTACACGCAATCCTTAACTTCTTTTACAAGAGCGTACTGCAGGCAAAAAATACATAGCGTCTCAGACCCCGTGAACTCTTGGTGAATGTTCGTATTCTTACACACAACAAATCTCCCTAGTATTCACCCGAATATACTGTGGTAGTGAGGAAAATTATATATACGGCAACATTTTAGTGCAACTTCTAGACTGATGCAGTACTTACCAGCCGTCACAAAGAAACGGGTACATTTGAAGCAAACACTCAGTTATTTTTAATTGTCACAAACAGTTACCCGTTAAGATTATCGGTTTACGTCCCCACGAAACTAGAATGAAGATGAGATTTAAAATTGTGTAAGTTTGTTGGTGCATTATTACTACTGGTAAAGTAAGAACAACATTTGTTGCGGAGAAATCAGTCTACAATATATACATATAATTGACTTAATAATAGGACCCTAAAGAACTTATGCTAAACAGTTCATGTCATGCCTCCACACTTTTTATATTTCAATCCGTTTTTATCACAAATCAGACGACACGAAAATAAGCACTGGAGAAACCGGAGTCACACCAGGTTATTGTTGATTCTTAAGTAATAACTGTCAATTTTTTCCACCCTATCATCGCTTATTGCCCACCATGTTTATTCACAATCTGTTGTTTGCAAGTTTTCTGAATTCGTTGAATATGAGTATACTGTTTGCTTTGCCTGAGGAATAAACTGTTGTGTTATTCTAAGAAGTATGCGTGTTAGCTATCTTTCATTGACTGCAGAGTTTAAGAATATGACAAATTAAGTGCTTTACCCTCTGTAATTGATCGAGCCTACTTATAAGTGTTTGTCTTATATATTCAGGAAGCATATGACGGCAAGGATATCATAACATCACAAACGTTCCACAGTGGCATTCGCAAATGCTTGCGTTTACCTCATAAATTCTAACGGTTTTGGATTCATTATTAAACCGTGTGGTCTACGCTTATGACCAACTGTGCACTGAAACACCACAAACATATTTGAATCTAATAAAGTAGTGATTTACACAAAGCGCAAGTATATGGGACTTTCAAGTTGTCCTTATTTCTAATACATCGTTTTCTGGACCTTAATAAGTCTTAAATAAAGGAGGCGCAATTGGCATTCGAGATACAGTTGCGATGCAACAATAGAGTCACCTTGTACACTACAAAACAGAGAAAGTTTAGATCATGCCTTTTACAATGATTTTGTGATTTTTCTGCAGCAACAGATTACTTAAATATGGGGATACCTAAACTGAATGCAGGCCAGGAACTGAAATACGAAATAACGGTTTCAAATCAGGCCTTTCAAGGTTGTTGAGTGAACCAAACATTTTTTGCCATCTCTTAAAGCTTCAATAATGTTTCGTGTTATTAGAAGAACAAGTGGAGAAAAGAGTTCAATGTTTAACGCGAAAATGTCGGTGATCATCTTCTAAACATCTGAATCTCAATGGGCTGCAAGTTTATCGTTTCTCCCATATACTGATAGGTCGTCACCTTTGACATAAATAACCTGAACATAATATTAGAAGAATATGGGACGTTTATATAGAACGATATGTTGCTAAGTACGTTGATGTTCTTCGGGCACTGTTACACACTCCTTACTATTTCTGCTTTATAATCGCTTACCTTACTCTCTGTTACCGTTTTTAAAACTATTTTTGTACCTTACAAAATCCTTGTTTAATGCTAAACATAAAGGAGTGAATAAATATTAGGTGTTTCAAAAGAAGCTAATGCCAGGGATTGCAGTGTCGTTGGCTAACACTGACCTAACCCAAAATTGGGATGCAAATTAAATATCTTCTATATCCTATAGGACCCTAATAACTAGATTCATGCAGTCTTCAGTCTTCAGTGATAAGGACAGTAAGTTGGTGAACCTGTGCCAATCCTAACAGACTGTCTTCCAGTGAAGGTTCAGCTTCTCCTTGAAGACATTCACTGATGGGGCTGATACCATTTGTTCGGGTAAGGCGTTCCAGTCATTGACTACTCGATGAGAAAAATGGGACCCCTCTTCAAGTTTATTAGATCGCAGTCTGTGAACCTTCTTGCTATGACTTCACCTCACGTCCTCTGACACGACAAGGAGTAAAGGTTTAGGCGTTTTAAACGCTCATCGTAAGGGAGTTTAGAAAAACCGTCAACAGATTTCGTTCCCACACGCTGGACAGCTCAAGTGAGTTAATATACTTTACCAGACATGAGCTAGCTGCTTGGATGCAGTACTCTCAATGTGGTCTTACATATATGGTATATAAAATTTCAAACGTTTCCTCGTCAAAAGATTTGAACGCTCGGCGAAGTGACCATAACGCACGAAAACCTTTGACAGCGGCTGAGTTGCAATGCGTAGTTGTTTTCAAGCCATGACTCATTATCACTCCTAAGTCTTGATGTTCTTGAATGCATGGAAGAGATTTACCAACAATAGTTTAATGGCAACTATTACCGTGACCGATGTGCATTAGCACACTCGTCACAGAATTGATTTCTAAGCCCCAACCTCGAGCCCATTTAACTAAATCGTATTATCAGTGCTTTGAAACCCTTATTAAACAGAAAGCGAAAAAGGCGAATTAGTTATCTTGTTGACGTACAGTCACCCTAAATACATATTAGATATTGTAATTAAACAGTTTGTTTAAACGCATCAATCCGAAGGCGAAAGTCAATCGTGAATGTTTAGATTAAACATACTAGTTATCGACTATGCTTGCTCATGAGTTAATATACGCTCAAATAGAGCCATCTTTCCGCATTTTTGAGAGATTCAAAAGTTGGGAAAAGGAATCTAAAGTAATTTATACTTCTTTCAATATACTGCAACAGGTAAACAGCCTTACTGATAATACTACGGTCTGTTGTGAGCTAATTGAAGCTAATGCTAGTTTGCAGCATGAATTGTTCAAAATTTTAAGGTTGTTCGTGACACAAGGTTAGCTCATTTTTCCTTTAGTGTAACTAGTGACCAATATTTCTTGGTGCTCTATCCAACTTATGTTTGATTTTTATGCTCTCCCTGATGATATTTCATGAAGCCAATGTAAGACGCGTTGTACCTGGATAATCTGTATAAATGATACAGATTAAGGGTTCATAGAACTCGTAAGTTTGATAATTACTGATACAGGTGCTAATCAGATGTTTTAAGATCAGCCAAACATTTAAATCACTATGACATTATATATTATAACTATTTTAATTCAGATTCAGATTTATGTAGTAAGGACAGAAGGCTTACGGCCTATATTATTCCTTTTCTAGTATGCTTCTGTGAGTGTTCAGTCTTCTCTTGAAAGAGTCAATTGAAGGTGCGGACACCACTGCTTCAGGCAGCAGGTTCCAAGTATTGATGACTCGGTGTGAAAACCTGTATGCCACTGGTATTTTGTTCGTTCTTGGCTTTTCTACTCGCCTGCTATGTCCTTTGAGGTGTCCCAATCTAGTGGGAAGAAAGGTAGAGAATAAGTTAGGTCCGAAATCATTTCTCAGTATTCTGTACATCAATATTAGATCTCCCCTTAGTCTGCGATAGGACAGAGTAAAGAGGTTCAGTTTTTCAAGCCGCTCTTTATATGATAAACCCCGGAGTTCCGGAACTGCACGCGTAGCTGCCCTCTGTACTTTTTCTAGTATGTCCGAGTCACCTTTTAAACAGGGGCTTGCAGCCTGAACACAGTTCTCTAACTTAGTTCTCACTAAGGATGTGTATAATGTGGTGAACATGATAGTATCAAGCTTAGTGAATGTCCTTTTTAAAGCCCAGAGGGTTCGAAACCCCTTAACTGCGACCTCCCGGCAATGGGCCGTCGTCTTAAGATCATTGCTCACTGTCACCACTAGGTCCTTATGAGACCGGACTACGGGTAATGACACATCCCCTATGTTGTACGTATTAACCTTTGAATCCCCCAAGTGCATGTAGACACACTTTTCCGAGTTGACAGGCATCAGCCACTCTTTAGACTAGTTTATCATATTATTTAAGTCCGCCTGAAGAGTAAATGCGTCTTTTTTTCCAGTTATTACTCGCCTAATTTTTACATCGTCAGCGTATAATAACATTGGAGACTGTATTATACTTGTAAGATCATTACCCTACATTATAAAAAGTAAAGGACCTAAGACGGAACCTTGGGGTACTCCACTAAGTACTGGTCTCCAGATGGAGCACTTGGAATTTATTCTTACTTTTTGCCTACGACCTACTAGGAAATCCTTAATCCATTTTAAAAGAGGTCCGGCAATACCAAGGTTTGCCAACTTCAATAGCAGTCTATTAGTTGGCACCTTGTCAAAAGCCTTACTGAAGTCTATGTAGACAACATCCACTGAGTTTCCAGAGCTCCCTAGCTATAAGGAGGTTCGTTGTACAGGATAGACCCTTTCTAAAACCATGTTGTGCCATGTTCAGCAAGTTATTGGTTTCAATAAATGCCGTTATGGTCCGTTTGATTATTCTTTCCAGTATTTTAGTTACAACACTGATAAGGCTTACGGGTCTGTAATTCGATGGAACTTGTCGTGGACCTGTTTTATGTATGGGAGTGACGATTGTGTCCTTCCAGTCCATAGGTAACACACCTTGGTCAAGTGACATTTTGAATATCACAGGTAGTGGGGCTGCGATATATTGGGCAATATGTCTCAAGATTTTAGGGTGTAGTTTATCTGGTCCTGTTGACTTCTCCATGTTTAGGGTGCTAAGAGCCTTAAGCACATCGTTTTGGTCGAAGTCCACGGTGAGCAGCTGGTTTATTGACTCTGTAATTGGGTCTGGTTCTTTCTCTAGAGGAGGTTCCTGAGTGAAAACTGCCCCAAAGTAGTTAGCCATAACCTCAGCTTTTTCCTGATCTTCCTCTATCATTTCAGATTCACTTCCTACTTTAATTAGGTTGGGAATCTAATGATGAATCCTTGTTCCGTAGTTTATTTACGAGAATATACTCTTGGGCTGCTTGAGTGCAGATTGTGCCAGCTGCATTTCATATTTTCTTTGCGCTTCCCGAATTTTAGTTATACACTCGTTTCTTATCGATCTGTAGCGTTCCATCGTACCTGCTGTGCCAAGGCGGATGGCAACATCCCAGCATTTCTTCTTTTGTCTTAGTAAGCGTCGAATATCCCGCCCTATCCAGGGATGTCCGTGCTTCTTTTTCTTTGGGACAGTCCAGGGTATGCATGGTTGAGTTACCCGATTGTATAACTGCCTGAATAGAGTCCATGCCTCTTGTACTGATGCCTTTGAGTCAATTTCCCAGTTCTCAGCCGTTGCTGCGGAATTAATTGCCTGCATATCTGCCTTCCATATGTTAGGACGGGCCGGCACAATTGTTTGACAAGCAATCTCAGCCATGAATTTGAATAAGATGACGGCATGTTCACTTCTCCCAAGTTGTGGGAGAAAAGCCGTTTGACCAACGTCATCACCGTGCGTGAAGACTAAATCTAAAAGAGAAGAAGAGTTTCTGAAGTCGTATCTTGTGGGATCTCTAATGTGTTGGAATAATGCTGGTCCAATCGAGGTTTCTAACATTTTGGAGTCGAACGACGATATGGATGACCCTACTTCTAAGTTAACCCAGTTTATATATGGTGCATTAAAGTCGCCTACTACAAGGCTTTTACAGTTGTTACACCAGGACTTAAGTTTACTTAGGAGAAAATCATCTGCTACACTTTCTGGACTGCGATAAACTACAACTACTTCAATGTCTTGCCTTCGGCATTTCAACTTACATCTCACCAGTTCACATGTCCCTGAAACATGTGCTACTGTCTCAGCCAATCTTATGGTTAGGGTACTTTTCGTGTACACAATAACCCCGCCTCCCCTTCGGTTTAATCTATCAGCCCTACTGGTTATGAAACCAGTCAACTAGATTTCACTATCTAATACTTCTGACGTTAACCAAGTTTCCGAGACAGCGATAACGTCCGGTTTTTCTTTATCCACCACTGACTTCAGCTCCGCCATTTTATTTAGTAGGCTGCGAGCATTTGTGTAGCACACTTTTAAGTCTGTGGAGAGCTTTCATTTGCCACCCAGAGTGGCTTGGGGATCGTTTTGCTCCGAACACACATTGGATAGTATGTTGAAGTTCGTTGAAGGTTTCCGGCACATTACTGTGAACTTAACACTATTTGTGCAAGGCGATTTCCCATCATTAATGCTGCGATTTTAGTGAAGTATTTAGGTTTTCAGAAACTAATCTAAAACATCAGCAAATACAACTGGATTCCCATGATTAAGATGCTCTGAAGTGTGTTCTAGCAACATAAATAAACATTTCTAAACACAGTTTACACGACATTATCGTCGTATATTTCAACGAGATCCCCTTTAACTTCCAAATCACACATTCATTAGCCTGGTCACTTATTCATCTGAATCCTGAACTGATTTGAAGCCATTTCAATACGATTTGATTTCGAAAAGAACAATAAGCTGGAGAGAGTGAGTTAATTTTAGCAATGCGCACCTTTCACTTCATCCAGATTTTGTCCGAATGCGTCAATAAATGGAGCTTTAGGCGCGTTTTGAGGTAAGAAGTTCCATTAGTTGATGACTTGGTAGTTCTATGACAGGTAGTTGGTTTTGGGTTTGAAAACGTTTTGGGAGTGCCCTCATTAATTCTTTATTTTAAAACAAAAGAAAAATGAGCGCAAGACACAAAAGCTGGTATTAGTGAATTCAAAATTTGTGATGAAATTACCTCTAGTTTTTCTATATGATAAGTAGAATGGTTTAAAATTAGGTAGTCTCTGGTTGTATACCAGCTTTATGTTTCCGGGACTCAGTTTAGTTGAGCTTTTTTTGAGCTACTTTTCAGCTTACTATTTTCCGTTTTGGTGGGGACTGGGTTTTAAAATTTAACTAACAATGGCGACTTAGTCAGTATACTTAGACAAAGGTTAGCTCAAAACGATTCAGTCTACGTGTACTGAGATGGGAAACTACATTATTAAAACTATTGGCTACTAGTTGTGGAAATTTTCACAAATCAAATGATTACCTTGGGAATGCTTATTATGGCACACGTGATGATAAGTAATACATTATTGGGTTTATTCTTATGTCCCCTTCCTTAATGTTCGTCAATAATCTGATTCTAGGCAGCTTTGCTCGTCAAACTTTACAACACGTATGGTTAGAAGAATCAGGTTTTCTCATCGACTTGTCGTTTGGTTTAATGGGTGTTGAGTAGCAAACAGATTAACGACGGAAACCAGTGGGTAAAATAATGGTATTATAGGTGCAATCAGGTAAAATGAGATAAGTATATACTGAGAGATAGCTACGACAGGTGAGTGAATAATTTCAACAAAATTCTGGATATAGTAAGTCTAATCGAAGCTATTCAAAAGAGATCTGGCTGTTTTTAGCAATATTTATTAGGTACCAAAACTTGGTTTATCGTTAGTTTTTCTAAAGAAGCAACTAAAATAACAATCTTAATATATTCATAGTGATTGGGCAAAGTATCTCATCAAATCATCTTACATCAATATATATTTATTTTAAAATGTTTAGGTAGCCTTTGTACAGAAAGTAACAAAGTATTTCCTGAAGCCTTTGTTGAGGAAACAATTAAAAAGTCTTATCGGTCACCGGTAATGATTTCAGAAAATAACTTCCGTCAAAATCAGAGGGACTTACATTCATGTACCAATATACATCCGACGGCAAAAGATTATCGTGATAATTTGGATTATTCGAAAAGCTTACCAAGTTTAGAAAATGAGATTTTAGAACGGTGAGTTATCTTAATATATTTAAATATTTTAATTTGTGTACAAATTTTGTTCGATTATTCCCTCTTATCATTTTTGAGACAACTATACATATCTTTCAACTAATTTACTCTGCATTTAATAGTATGATTAAATTCTTTGTTTTGTGACGAAATGTAAAGCTTAATACAAAGTCAAATTCAATGTGATAGATTAACCAATCAACTAAAAGCTCAAAGTATGGAATTTATTCAACCTAATATAGAAAATAAATCAACTTACTCTACTCAAAAGCGACCCAGAGCTATGGTAGATGCTGAAAGCATAGTGGCTTCTCCTGTATCGGAATACGATCTTAATAAACAAGTAAATGAACGATGGTAAGACAAACTTTGTTCTATTCTTTACGAATATGCTCTAAGAAGTTTGACATACATATTTTGCGTTTTAATTAAGGTGGTTTACTAATTGTAATCATGACAAGTAGGAAAACTAAACGTCTGAGATTGTTTTTGTGACAAGAGGTGGACCACGCTAGTTATAAAAACGCTTTTTCTTCAGCTGGAAATTGCAGTTACAGCGTGTAAACTAGCCACTTAAAAAGTATAAGAATACATGTCATAATGGAAGATGAACTCATGGTATTGGTGTCATCGGTCGTGTTGTGGTATTTAATTTGGCTATAGGAAATGTTCCAAAAATCTTATTTGTCGGTGACAAATGATTGTTTGAATGATACAAGAAGACCTGAGGTGAATTAAGCGTACAGTTGAATTATGAAATAGCTCTCAAAATGAGCACTCCTATGTTTTGAAATCGACATTTTAGATCATCATATTTAACATTGTCTCTTCAAAATACTATTTTTGTCAGTAGATCAGTGAGAATGCTTGCCGCTTATCATTTCAAGTACTTTCGTTTTGCATTCTCAGTGGGTTACTTTTTTTTATTGTCTATATTGTCCGGTTTATTTTGTCAGAGTAATTTTACAGCTGAATATCACAAATCTTAAAGATTATTTTGTAACGATACTTTTTCAGTCTGGAAGATTTTGTTTGTAATTTGAATAATTATAAACAAAAAAAAAACGAATGATCGATAGATTACAAACAAGCAATAAAATCTACTGTAAGATATATCCGCAAAATGGAGGGATAAAAGCATGTTAACAGTAAACGTTAGATAAAACTGATAAATAATTTAAGCAGCAAATTTAAACCTATTTTATTAGCTATCAGTTGTATGGCTATAGTTAATCAGTTATAAATAGTGTAGGTCTTAGCACAGGCATATCATCTGGGCAGGTTCCCTTAAATTTCGCATTGAGACAATGGTGAGGATGAAATAATCGACAGGATAACAGCATCATTAATACTGTAAAGCTAAACGTAGAGAATACAGTTTTTAAAAATAATGATACAGAGAATAACATCGACTTAAAAGTTTATATATCATCACCACCACTGTGTTATGTTTTTGAAGCGTTAAATTAAATCCGAAAGTAGTAAAATAAAGTAAAATTTATATTAGTAAGATTTTTCATCTAATGATATCTTTTTACCTATTTATTAAGACACTGAAGTAAAAAATATTGTTTAGGCTTATTTGATGGTGATTTGAAATTTAATTCAGTTATTGTTTAATGTCTTTATACCAATAGATTTCAGCAAAGTTATCTACTATCTGATGCATCAAATATCAATCCAGATGAATAAGTACATACCAATCTAGCAGCAAATATACTGATAATAAACACTTAATGTGTATCTACCTCTGCATTATCCACTTTTCCGACAATATTAAAGTTGAAATAATTATGTTAGCATAAAAGTTCTTCATTTTTCGAATATTTTATCTTTATATGCATATATCAGTTATCTTTTACAAAAACTGATTTTATGGTATTCTTATTTTAAAAATGCCTTTTTTCTAGCAAAAAGTAACTATTAAAAGATAACTTATTAAAGCATTTACGTTTAAGGTAGTCATTTAGTAAAGAAATTACTCTTAGATTAGATACGTATTATGAATATTCAGTACACACTTATGTATTATTATGTAATATCATCATAATACTTAAATGTTTACAAAATAATTTCTCACATAAATAAAAGATTTTCAAATTTCAATTTGAAAATTTTAGTGATGATGATATTTATCCTCAGGAAAGTGATAATTCTTTCATTTCTAATGATCATCTGGTGAAATTTGTTGAAGATAAAAATGCTACAAGTCATCTTCAAAGTTGGCTTTCTCCTTTGGTTAGCCGATATAATGATCTATTCACGAATTTACGAGTGTCGTGTATGGATCATCTACAATCATTAGGTCAATCTGATTGTGCAAGGAATCAACGCTTGATTTTTCACGCGGTTCAAGTAAGTTATCACTGGCTAAATAAGAAAGTTATAAATTTCATCACGTCAATCGTTTACTATCTTTATATTACATCTATTAAACCATTAAATACTACAAACTTATCAGTTTTGCTTTTTTATAAGCTTGTCTTATCTCACAAAATATGTACTAAGAATTATTTGTCATCAATTGATAAAATTTGAAGCTTCAAGTTCAATTTTAAATTAACGTGTAATAAAATCTATTATATAAGTTCACAAAACATACTGGGATTGGAGCTTGCGGAAATCACTGAATTTTCATTTATATATGTATTATAGACCACATCACTCGCCGACCATGGTTACACGACTTTTGTAGATTAAGGGACACTTGACAGCTGTTTTTTTCCTAGTATTGTGCTTCTTAGAAGCGCAAATACAGCTTCTTTGCCAATCAAATCCACGGCATTCAGTTCACATGACGAACACTTCATATTTAAACTTATGAGCTGACGTTGATTGTTTTACATGTATAATTTGAATCAATCCTCGAGATTATCTTACCATCTCCTATCGACTTCGGCGAACAACTGCCTTACACCTGAATTCACTGAAATCCACTGGTTAGAGCTTCTCAACGCAACTACAAGAGTTATGTGTCAAAATAATCTACTAGCAAGCAAACGGTTATTGTGAATATAAGGGGTTTGCTAAGATCGTTGAGGCCTAATAGTTCTGCAATTTATCCTCAGTTTGTTAATAACCATGTACTGCTGAAAATTTCCAACCTGGACTAAACGGCCATCTAGGGTTTTCTGGTGTTCAGTTATTGTTTAATTGATATCGGTCTGTGAAGTAAATTATAAAACACATTAGTGGAAAAACTGGTTCTCCCCTACCTCGATCTGAGATGTTATTAGAAATCAAAATAGGTAAAGTTACTTGTAAGAAACTCTACGAAAATATCATAAACGTCTTAATATAAACAAGTGCCGACAGAAACATTGTACCATATTCTGATATTTCTGACTTACGTCAGCGAAATGCCAGAAAATTATTAGTTCGAAAGTTTTACTTGATGTGGTATACAAAAAGTCATTTTGTCATAAGAAAACATATCTCTCGTTTTTGAAGTTTGATTATTACATGTCCTTTTATAACTCTTGTTCTGAATTTCCTACTATTGCTTGGAAAATTTCATAGTTTCAACGGTATGTCTTCCAATTTAATATTTCTTTGATAATATGGTTGTATTTAGAGTTCACAAACAAGTAAACTCACTGGCAATTTTTTGTCATTTAGTAATAAATAAATCTTTTGAATTATGTGTCGATGTTGTGTAGGCAGACAATGAGATTTCCATGAATCACTGTTCTTAAAAAGATTAAATGATCAATAACCATAATGGTTTAGTCATTGAATAAATCATTTGAAAGTCATTCTAATTGATTACTAAGTACATTTTTTAAATGTAGTATGGAAATAACCTGACGAGTACTCAATTTTTGTAACAAGCGTAAACGATTCGTGCTTATTTTATACCCAAAGCTAGATGAATTCTTCAGAAATTGTTCGTTAAGAGTGGAAAACATTTATGTTATCTATTTCAAAGTTTTACACCATTAAACCAAGTAACGTCAATGTAACTTCATATGGTAGTGAAAGATGTACTGTATTGTATTATATTTCTTTGAGTTCTTAACGAAGAAGCTATCTACGTTTTTCACTAAAATAACACCGTACATAGAAATTAAATGAAATAAATGTATCTATTGATGAATTAAAGAAGCCTATCTAAAGTAAGGTGAACATAAAACTATCTATCTCTGTATGTTTATTTGATTATGCTAATCGATGTGTATACCTTAGATGGTATTATTGGAAGTGTCTCATTTATTACAAAATACTACATTGGTGAAGAAAAAATCAATAAAATATTCTACATTTAATTTATATACTGGAATCTTTCGAATGATTGGAAGATCATTGATTCACAAAAACTGAATTTCGATTATACAACGATATAACAGTTGAATTGATGTTTATGGGTGTGGAATACAGATGGTATTTAGATTTGTCCATTTGTAAATTGAGGATAAACATTTGGAGCAATCGAATGATCACACGATGTATTGTTTTTTAATCTAATAGGATCGTTTTGCCTGTCGTAACGTTTTACGTATAGTAGATAGTGTAACTAAGATTCACCTTAAAAGAGTTTAGTATAAGACACACCTATCTTTTCTTTAGGCGTTCGCATAGATACGCTAATATTTTGTCATAAAACAAACAAGTTCAGGTAATAATTATTTTATGAAAAAATTAGTTTACAAGAACGTAACGGACCAAATCGATTGAGAATAGGTATTGTGGTATTTCAGTTAGTGATGCTCATATGTCACACATTTCGCATGGGGATATATTATTTTCGGAATAATATTGCTCTAGTGTTTAATCTGACTAAATGTTTCTAAGGAGTGATTATGTAACACTAACTATTCAATTGCTTCTTAATCCTTTATAGGTTTGAACTTAATATTAATCACTAATAAAATCAGTATGAAAAATTGGATGCTTTCTGTAAAGACCATTAATGTCAAAATTATATTTATTATATGGGAAAGATAAATTACACTCAATCCTTTTTTTCTATGAGACTAATTAGCTGGTAGCAAATGGTTGCTTTGACAACAAAACGGCATGAATGAAATGGTTGTAATTATACCACAAATAAACTTCGAGAGATCTGTATCATGCTCTAGGGCTATTATTATTTAAGATTCTTTCTTATATTGAGCCTGGTCAAAGGAACTGGACTAAAATATCAATGTTTACTGAGACATATCTGATGATTAATTATCGTTTAGTTAAAATAATCTAGAATCGTCTTTTTAAAGTGTTATTACATTGATGTTTTAGTTTTACAACTTAATATAATAGCAATAGGTTTATGGGTTTTTCATTAGTGAATAACAGATTTATATCTGAACTATCAAAGTATATTTTTTAATTATTCGAATTCATCAAAGGTAATATTATTTCATACACTAGTTATGTAATAAAATTCAACTGAGATTTTTTAATTCACTTAAAAAATTATTCAAAACTTTTAATATGTCTCTCATGGTATAACGCTGTTTCTGTAGAGTGATATATTTACAGTAAAGTGCAGTTCTGGTAATGAACATTTTTCAATTTTATGGAGTTATGATGTCATTAGTATCGTAATGTCACTAGAATTTAAGCACTCGTTTTGTTTTTTTAAAACTATCACGACATTTTTTATACAAACATAATGAATGTCTTTTAAATGAGGCTTATTACTCGTATATTAAAGTAACATTATTTCGACTAGGAGTCCCTGGTGGCATTATAGCACAAGGAATATGTCGTTACAGCAACAATGTTGAAAAACACAAGATTTGGTAGGTGAAACACATAGTGAATACATCTCGTGAAAACTCTACATTAGTAGCTCATATTTTAAACTGGATGGAAAAATTTGGTTTGAAAACCTCAACATTTAATGTTCTACCAGTAGATGGTTTGTAAATGTTGATTCCATTTTGAAGTTTCAAATTAAAAACTTAACCACTTGCTCGAGTTGGTAATTTACTAGGCTCTTCTTAATTCAAATTCTATTGAGTTTCGTAATCTATGTAATTCGTATATAAATGGTCATATTATCGCAAAACTCTTCATCGATCGTCGTCTATGGACACTGATATCAACTATAAAACTATTTTTATAATTTTGTTATTTACGTTTAGGCCGGCTTCACTGTCACCAGCCATGTGATCCATCGTCTTCCTAGTTACACTCAAAAAGAAAATTATGTGTCAAGGAATGTTGGTGAGCGACAATTCTCCGCATCAGACATATCGCTCAATGCTGATCAATTAGATAAACTTGTAGCCGCAACATTCAGGCGTCTTTCACGTCACGCTCCACCAGAATGCGCATGTCATACTTCAATTACTTCGATGAGTGGGACAAATATTAAACGGCCTATTTCCATAAGACGACCTGTGACATCTCAGGAACTGACTGCTTTAGATAACCTTCTAAAGGAAGTTTGTTGTCTTGCTTGGCACCTACTGGCTGGAAAAAAGAGTCCACAACTAGATATTGAATCAGATGGAGTTCAATCTACTTGGTATGCAGATGTGGATAAAGCTGCCAAACCTGGTGATCCATACAATGACAAATGGTACGCAGTCTGTTTATATTGTTTTAGTGAGCAGTCATACAACAAGAATCGTAATATATTTATCAATTAATTCAAAATTTGTGTTTTGTTTTCACCATATTATTTTCAAGTTATCGAAGAAGCTATGATTCGGACCCATCTGCTGGTCAAGTTCACCATTACATTTGGCCATGTTTAATTTTATATAATCAAAGACCTACTGAAATTCAACAGCGATTTCAATCAACAAAAATGGATAAGACTAATAGATGTAAATCGGTTAAAGCATGTATTTTGGTGAAAGGAGAAGCATGTACACGTAATCCAATATATGCAGCATCGCAAAAAGATAAAGCTGCTGCTTTATTAAATCATGAATATTCTTGTCAGAATGTGTGTAGATGCATGTCACCGCAGAAATATGGTAGATCAAGATCAGCATCAATTCGGAGAGTCTAGCAAATATTGCTTTGCTTTTAGGTAATGTATTTTTATCGTCCTCAGCTTTCAATAGTTTCTTAGTTTCGTCGGTTTTTCCAACGAATAGTAAATGTATTACATAATGTTTAATTTCAGAAACGTTCAGTAGCTAGTCTGTCATCCTATCATATTTTTAATTAGAATTCTAGTTTATGCAGCGTGCATTCGCCAATTTAGTTTACAAAATAATTTGTCCATTTTTCTGACAAAAAGGCAATAACATACAATAGGTAATCACCGTTATGAGTTGTCACTATGTTTTAATATTAGATTGCTAGAATAAGTCTACAGGAAACTCTGGGTATAGGTTTCGCGATAGTTGACACACTTCAGAAGGGGACGTCTGGGCTCATGAGGGAACTGGCGATCTCCCTACAATTCAGACGCGCTTCATTAAGCTTTAGAATTTTGAACGTTACTACTGAGCCACTCCGGTAATGACATGCATCCTCTAATACTGAGATACTAACATGTTAACTAATATCATGTTTATCTACTTCAATTCTTTTGTTCTTAATACGTTCATAATCAATGCTCTAACGATTAAGGTAATAAGGTATTTAATTTAATTTTGTAGACAGTAATTATTTGTATTTTGTAAGTGCAAAAGGATTTATTCATAACCATAGTTTGCCTACCATATTATACTGAAAAAACCATCTACGGATTGTATTTTGCTTCTTATTTGTACATAATACTGGTTCTCAGTTAGTTATAACATGTTTTTCTGTTGATGAGTTTTGAGAACATTTAACCTTATGTTCTATAAAAAATATACGTTTAAAACATGCATATTGTATAATTGAGTTTCTTTTTTTACAGGCGATTTAACTGAGTAGTTCCATACTGAATAAATCACAAAAGTCAACTCATTATTAGTACAGTTTACTTGTTTACAGAAACTAATCATTAAATCATTAACATCAAGAGTTGAACCACTGGAATAGTTAGAAGTATTTAATTTTGTCTTAGATACTACAGAAAAAGATCCGAAATAAATAAGAAATGAAAACAGAACAAGCAATTCCACTTTCCTATACGTGATAAGTGATTGACTCCTCAGAAGTGCTCATCCACGGCCCCAACCTGCGGGACTCGAACGCAGGACTTATCGGTTTTGCTCGCGATCGCTTAACCACTAGACTACTGAGTCGGAATCGAACGATGTTAATGTTTAGCTTCAAATTATCGACGAAATTAAGCGACACATCCATCATCGTTATCAGTGAGTTACTATCTCACAACAGACTCCACTGGTCACTGCTTCTCACTAGAACTCCATGAAATACCTCTTGAAGCTAGTCACTAGTGAGCATATGTTGATTAATATCAAAAGAGGTTTCGTGAATATTATAATAATTTTAATGGTTGAATTTATGAATCAATTAAAGCTAGGCCACCGTGGAAAACCTGGAAGTATATAATTATCTTTAAGATTTTGAACGAAATATATTAATTAAAATGAAAGATTAAATATTATAAGATATAATGAAAATAATTTAAAAACACTAGTAAATAATAGACTAGAATCGAGTTGTATATTCAATAGAAAGTTGTTTCACTGATTGAAATCATGAGCCAATTGAAGCTAGACCACCATGGAAAACCTAGAATCACTGGACGGCCGTTTCGTCCTAGTTTTGTACTCCTCACCAGTGCACATCCACGATCCCGCACCCCACGAGATTGGAACCCGGGACCTATCAGTCTCGCGCCAGGAGCTTAACCAACTAGACCACTGAGCCGGCATCCAACGATGTTATTGTCTAACTTCAACCAATCCAGGAAGTTGCGCCTCCATACACCATTGTCTTCAGTGAGTTGATATCTCACAACAGACCTGATTGAACTCCACTGGTCACTGCTTCTCACTAGAACTCCAGGAATATTTCTTGAAGTCAGTCACTAGTGAGCAAATGACGAAACGGCCGTCCAGTGCTTCCAGGTTTTCCATATTGGTCTAGCTTCAATTGACTAATGATTTCAATCAGTGAAATTTCTGAAATCTCCACAAAACCCCTTCTGAGAAAGTTGTTTGTTTGTTTTTTAAATTATTATTTTAAGTAAAAATTTTTTTAATTATATCTATGGTTAACAATTAAATTTCATGTGTTATTTAATTTTCCTATTGACTAATTATATATTTTTCACAAAAGAAAACGAATAATTAGTTGATTCCTATTAAATAAATAAATAAATTTATACTTTAATATTATTTATCATGTGAACTATTCATTTCAAAGTGTTTGATTAATCACGTTTCTATTTTTATAATAAAAATATAAATGAAGTACTTTATTGTTTATCAAATCACTGACTTATTATCTAATCAACAATTGTTTCTAATATAAACGTTTACATTAGAGAAGAAGTTATCATTATTTTTTTAAAGAAACTATTAAGTCCATATATTTATGCACTTTAAAGCTTTTTTCTCTATTGTTTTTTCTTTTTTTCTTTTTTTTTATTGTCTGAATTTGATTTAAATCAATTATGATTTATTCTTTTACAAATAGTAATTAGTAATTAAATGAACTGATTATTGCATTAATATTTAATAAATCATATGAAGTATATTTGTTAAAGATCATTTGTGATCTGAATATTTCAGAGTTAATTTAGATTGACTGTAATAATTAATGATATTTATTTAAATCTAATGGAAAGTAATAGTTTCTAAAATATTGTAGATATACGTTGTGTTGATGTGAGTGTAAACAAGTATGACATTCAAGTTATAAAAAAAACTTCTTGCTAGATCGTTTTATTCATCAAATATTATGCAAATAATTATACATATTTCTTTTGGATATTTATTCAGAAGTATTTGAGAATAGTTGAAAATAGACATATGTTAAAAGCTTTGAATAGAATTAACTGTAAATCACAATGAAGAGGCTTAGATAAGATTATCGATTTTCTGCACTAATTACATTGCTCACTAAAATGTCGTAAATTTTTTCCTTTATTTATGATTCAATCATAACTATGTACAGTTTTAATATCTATTTAGTTAGAATGATAAGTTTCTATTCATGAACACAAAATTAAACTTACATTTATAATTTTTTTAAAAATATTTTAACTCCTTAGTATTTATTAAAAAGTTCTATCGTTCCGAATGTATTACATGAGATGAGAGTTAGCTGTTACTTGTAATAATCTACTTGATGCAAACTGAAAACCTAAACGATTAAAAAACAATCTGATATATATTTTCTGAAGTGATTATATATATATCGGATAGAAAAGTTATCAGTGAAGTACGTACTCTTAATCTTTACATTTTATGACATGTTGACATGTTTATGAACCATATGATGATGAGCACCAAACAAAAGTTCAATGAAACCGACTTGAATTCGAAAGATTCATTTTATTTGGAGTCGGATTGTGTTGATAAGAATGGAAATCTTTTTCATTCCGTCTTTACCTAGCTATGCAGATGCAATGAAGTACATTCATGACATACATAAAAAATTAAAATGTGTTTTGTCTGTGGCATTAGCTTTTTAGGTTTATGGGACATAACACAGAATGCCGTCGTTATAGTAAGTGAGCGGATTCACATAGTTTTTTTAACAGGTTTTTTTCCATATATAAATTACGTGGTATGCTTCAAAGATGTAAGAATAATTTAGTTTGAATGATATTTATGTTTTACCCAAATAAATAAAAGTTTAACATCAAAATAAAAATCGATTTAGCATTTTAATGTGAATTTTAGTGGTCCTAGTCTGGGCGACTTTTGATAACAACCTTATGCAAAAGTTATTCTATAGTAATATTGAATTAATAATTAGTTGCTTACATTTTCCATCCAGATAGCTCGATTTACATTGGGGTAAAGTGACGTATCTGATCAGTTAGTTTGTTGGAATTCCATTAATTACATACACACCCCTTACTCATAGGTCAGTTAAAGATCACACTGAATTGCATTCTAAATATGGATTGCAACTGAGCATTGTAGCTTACTATGGAAAGCTTAGAGTGATTTCAAATCATTCCTAAACTATGAGTTTCATTTATTAACAATCATTCTTTCGGCCTAAAATGTCTGGAATGGTATGCGTTTCCAAATAATTCGGAAGTTCGACAAAAAGTGAAAAGAATTCATATAAGTAGCCGATTTCAAGTAGACTTGGATATTTATGACTATATAAGTAAATTTCCAGGAAACCACTTTTATAAACATAATTGAGATGCTGTATAGTGTAGATTGACAATAAGCGACTTTTGAAACTGCTAAATTAAGCTTTTCATTATCTTTTAAAGCGAATGGTTTTCATGAATAAACATGGTACGATTAGACTAGTAAATTAACGAGTGATTAATCAAATTTTGTAGTGTATTAAATATTTCCTAAAACCACTCCACATTCTTAACTTAAGTTTTCAAAGATGGTTCACACACAGTATCCCTAAATATTATTTGTTTTTCCAACTTTAAAAACCATACTTCACATTAATACTTAATTCGTGCATACACATGTTGATTTTTTGTGCATAGTTAATGTGAACCTTCTAGCTTGGTTATGAACTTGGCTGATTTGGTCAACAAATATATTCTTACAATTGTTTCTCTATGACCTATATTCTCTCCACCCTCCTAACAGATATCGTTCTGTTGAGTAGTCATTACTGTTGGGTTCTGCTTCAATGTGAATTTGTAATGAAATCCAATTGACTTAAAAAATGGATTATATTTTAAAACTGAATAGTCTCAATAAATATATTACATTATCGCCTTCAGTTCAGATACATTTTGTGATGTATGATAAGAATTTTGTTGTGTCATATGGCCCGCCAAATATCGCGTGACAAAATTGCTAACCAAAATACCAACTTCTATGTAGTTTTCCCCGTGCTAAACCAATGATACGTTAAGCATCACGAGCAGCCTTGAGTCAACTGTGAGTCCAGACCTAGCCTGTTCAGTCTAGAACAAAAATATCAGCTACCGCTATATGAATCATATATTTCAAACATATGTGGTCTATGTACAAACAGACTAAACCATAACGCGTCATAAAATGAAAAAATAATTATCATGCAAGATCAAGCCAAAAGTGGCTGTCAGTATGGAATACTGTCACCAATAATTTGAGAATAAATTATATATATATATATATATATATATATATATATATATATATATATATATATATATATATATATATATATATATAATAGTTTATAAATAAATCCTGGAAGTTATCGCTCGTTTATTTCTTCATTCAGACATAACAAATTCAAGCACATGAAATAAGCTTGTCTATAAATCTAGTTGACATAATCATTTAATGATCTCGTTCATTATTGGGTTTATTGAGTTTTAATTTAATTACAAAGAAAGTTCATTGAGAAACAAATAAATTAGGATCTTAAACTTTAAATAAAACTTAACATTCAAATTCCCAATAGAGTTTGTAGACCAATAATTACCACAGGGTGTTTTTTTCACATCTTTCTTACCTTACACTTCACTATATAAAAATAAACTATATTTATATTAAGGTCATGTTTATGAGTTATATCTCAATATTAGATATGCTGCATAAAAATAAAAGATGTTTGCCTAAGGTAAATTGGTTACTGAAGGGCATGTTATAAACATATTTCTAAAATTTTGTTCAACAATTTGTTTAGTTTCATAATGATTCTATTTAGTGATAAATAAAAATTTGCACTGAATCAATTAATATCATAATTTCATTATCTGTTTAAAAGCATTCATAGTAGATATTAATACTAGTCATAAATAATAATAAAGTATTACCTGGTTACAACCGTTTTATTATTCATAATTAACAAATAATAACTTATGTCTATATATTTTTCTCCTAATACAAAACGTGTATGATGATTTTATAGGGATTCATGTATCTAAACGATTTATAATCAATAATTATTGATTATTATTAATACAGTTACTAATCAGAAGTGAATTACTAGAAAAAAACGATTTAAAATATAATTACAAAGTAAATGTAATTGATTCATTATTAGTTAAACAATTTCCACATAGAATATAAAAATTCTTATATCTTTCTTGTTTTATTTGTTTGTTTGTTTTTTAATCACTATGAACAATATCGATTAATTTGACTGTATTCATTTTAAGATTCACTTGAGAATTAAAAGCAAAAAAAAAATAAATCTCTATCATTTTTTATTCAATATACCGTACCTTATCTAATTTAATATGCATGTCAATTTGAAAAAAAGAAACTAAAGTAGGTATAACGTTAAAGTGGAATAAAAAATTACTTTTTATTAACTTTTAACTTATTTATTATTCGTTAGTAGAAATATTATTAGACATTTATTAAAGTTTATTTTAGTAAAAATTAGTAGTTGCCTAGAATTTTCTAGAATTTTCCGCCCATTTCTTTTTGTTCATTTATTTACTGTAAATTTTATACATGGTAAGCGTTGGTATTGTGATTTGAAAATATTGATAAGCATTAGTGATTCGTTTATTCGTTTAATGATCTCCATCATATTAAAAGACTAGTATTTAAACAAAGAATAAGTTTAACTCAATAATAAGGGATTATTGGTAGTCTATATCACTTGTAACTTTATCTAGAAAACTGATGATATGGCGAGCAATGCTTAAATTTATTGAAGTTTGAATGACAGATGAATTTGTTTTACTCAGTAGTGTGTGACAATTTTTCACATTTAAAGAAGGGTTATTGATGCTTAATAGTATAATATGATAAATATAGATTCACACAGTAAGTTAGTTTTGTCAAATATAGCTCAATTCAATCTATACAAATTTTACTGTTTATCTAACTGTAAATAAATCATATAGAAAGTGGTGTATTCATAAATCAATTTGATTTATTTTAGGAATCATATAAATCCTTATCATCAGTCTTTGGTTTTACACTTTGCAACTTTTCTATTGTGTTCGAATCACCGTGCAGATTCAGTCTTGAGTTATGAGTAGTGACTAAGAAGTCGAATCGAGTATTCAGTTATCAGACTTATCACTAATGAATGCCAGAAAGCACTAGGCAACTATTTCATCTCAGTATGATAATACTCATCAGTTCAACAGGTGATAAATCTATTTTAGTGTTCAATGGTTATCTAGATAAAGTTTCTCCTGAATGTGAGATAAAGATTGAAATCCTCTACAAAATCCCTAATCAGAAAAGTATGGTTAAGCTTAGAGAATTTACATTTCTAAAAATAGAGGATACGAATTTAAATTTTTCAGTAATAATGGTTTGCATATATTCCGCTGGACGATATAAAATATATATATTTGAATCACTTCGTGGATAATTGGAAAATGAGAAATTCTATTTTGTAGTAAATAAAGGCGGTTGAAAGTAATAATGTAATTACGAATTAGATAAAATATTGATTCAAAGACTACGTAGCATGCAAATTATTATAACTTAGGTAAGAGATAATAACAGTGAAGTGATTACTAAATGAAGAAACAAGATATAAATAATCTTAAACAAAAGAAATTGCTTTAAATCAGTGAAATAAAGAGCGTGATGTATGCACTGGTCAGAATGACCAGAGTATATGTATTTTTAGAAAGTAATGAGTCATGAACTCTAGAAGGGAGGACGCACATTTAGACATTCTCTAACATTGACTTTCCTGTTAGTCAATCTACTTTGTCCTGATCTGTATCAATTATTCCACTTAGCAATGGGTGGCCGCAATTAGTTCTATCTGTGTCCATAGCTTTCTTTAACTTGCAGCCTCCAATAATATACTCCATTTATAAACATTTAAAATACAAGTGTGTCTTTACAAATACTAAGTTTTGTCATAATGTTCAGTTTGTAAACGTAAAACAATTGTTGTTGCCATCTGGTGCACAAAGTAAAACACACTATATGTATTTCATTTCACCTTCTTTGTCGTATTTACAGAAAGAAACATAGTGTTGACAATTTATTCAGAAAGCTTTGTTTATTCAGTAAAAAAAATTCGGAATGGTCTGCATCAATTAATCCTTATAGTTATTCTGCAACAAATCAATTAGCTGTTGAATTTATAACTTTTTATGTCTTTTATGATCATTATTATTATTAATGTAGTAGTATTGACTGTGTTTATAATTTAAGAAAACCATGACGAATTTTGTACAAAACAGTTATTTCGCATAGATTTTTAAATAAAATTTCTATTTTATAAGTTTTTTGATTTCTTTTTTGTTCATTGTGTGGAACAAGTTATATTGGCAGGTATTCTAGGAATTTGTATGTTCATGCTCTCGAACATCTTCTAGTGTAGTTAAATAAAGGTATAGTTAAAACTTTTAATAGCTCCATTCTAATCCGTTTAATATAAATAGGCCATAGAGTCAACATGGAGCAATCATTTACAATAACATACCATGTTAACAGCTATCTACCTAAAACCGTCAGGCTGAGAATCCCTAAACGTTTGAAGCAACAGCTGTTCAGATCAGAAAGCAAAAGTTTTACATCCGGAAGAAATATGCTCAACCCCTTCTTCTTCCTTGGCCAACTTCTGGCCTAATTAGTTAACAATCATTTTGATGAAATGCTGACATAATTTTATAAATGTTCATACAGCCCTCTTTATGTTTTTTATAGCTTAAACTTATCCATACATGCTATTATTATAGTTATTATTATTATAAATCTTCCAAAGGTTTTGTGAAGTTTATTTCAGGTAACGAATAATTTTGAATTTACATGCTATGATTTTAAACGATTTGTTCACCTTAGATCTGGCCAATATTTGGACTATTAATTTGGACATATGGTTGTAGGATCTGAAGAAAATTTATTGAAAAGAATATTCTTCGTCCAGATATGTTTTAATATGATGAGAATTTTAGGTTGATTAAAATTGCATACAAGTATCGTAATAATAATATAATGTATTCTGAAAATAATAATTACAGAATTCATGCCAGTTTACAGTCATGATCAGCTTGATATAAATTGTAACATTAAATGTAGCAGACAAACATGTGATATAAGATTGTTTTAAGTTTGCTAGTTCAAATATTGTTTAGGTACTACATGTATGACATATAATAAAGCAATGTAATGCATCGGCCGGGAACTTTTAATTCTTCTTAAGTGGATATCCTGTTGATTTATGAACAATATATTTAAAGTAATTTCCTGCGCCATCATAAATTAATTATAACCATCTACAATTAGAGAAAGTAAAATGGAAACAGAGAGTACGGAACAACAATGAATTATTTACCATGGTATGTCTATGAGTTAGGTTTATATTATAAATTTTGTTTGAAGAGATTACATATTCACAGAACAGTAGTGGATATTTGCGACCTAAAAACAAGCTGTAAGGCATTTGGACTAGAAAAATGCATTATATCTTCAAGTTAAAAGCATTTATCAAAATGATATGAAAACAGTATACACTGTGCTATGTATGTACAACTTATAGTAATCACGGTAATTACTACAACTGTCTACTTTTGAATACCAAGAAATGAGTTTATTGAGTATGTTTTACTTCAACTGACTAATACCTAATCCTTTTGTAGGAGAGCATGAATGTAGTCCGTTTATAATAAGAGTAATCATTAAGTTTGATTAAGATGATATCTATAACCCCTCTCGTAGACTTAGATTTGTTTAAGTTTTTGTCAAGCCCTTCAACTGACATATTTAACAGACAGAATTATTTGAACAGTAATAATATGTCCATGTCCAAGCATGTTTCTTAATCACATGCTGCGTGTATATATATGTATATATATTTGGATTTTATTAATTGATTCTACCCTTAATTCGCCACTGTTCGTTTGTTCACTCATTAGAATTTCTGTTCTACTTCCCTAAAATGTATTTGTGGCTTTGTGATCTGTTCTGTTCACTGGTAAATTGTCATTAGTTTATTTGTGTCGAATCAAAATGCTCATATCTTCCGAAAGTTGGTTTACACCTTACAACTGAGGTTATTTGGTCACTGTATACGGATATGTATATTCAGGACCATGACTTAAATTAATCTATTTCTTTAGGTCATTCTTGGTTGTGAGCCGTTAAATTGTTTTTCGTCGATTATTACGAATACATGTTCAATAAATATCTTTCTGTCGGCCAGAATATTAAATCATATCATCTGGGAATAGATTCCTTCCTACCTCACCCCTTACTTTTATGGTAGAGCAATTACATTGTGATGAAAAGATATGAAGAACTGTGCTGTATTTTATCTGATGACACTGATTAAAACTATACTGTAGTTGCTCCTTCGACTAAAGGGAGTATCTTCTCTATCCTATCCATTAATTTTTATAGATAGTCGACTGTAGTATAAAAGCGAAAATTTCGAATAAAATAACTTAGTAAATTGTAAAAGGCGATGAGCAGAACAAACGTCATCCTTTTACATTCCAATGATCCATTTGTGTCGTAGATCGTTTAATTGTTAGCTACTTTCGTCAACTAAGGCTTTGTTTGTTCATTTTGACTAATTGTACAAGTTGGATTTTGTTCCATATGGTTTATAATTACTGTACATATACATTAATTATTTACGTAAAATAATGTACTCCTGTTTTAATAAAATCCATATTCAATTACCTTGTATTTTGTTTTCATTACTTTATTTGATTCTGTGCAATAATAATTACTGGGCGAATATACCAGGGACAGTGCCTATATAGTTGATGTAACAAATTGTCATTCAAAATGAGGATATTTTTTCAAAATAAAATAAGAAGAAACAAGAAAATTCTAAATGTATAGTGTACACCACATATACTGACAGATATAACTAGCATATAGCATCAATCGGAGGTGGAGTACCTGTCAATAGAAGGTTGAATTGAAGAGAACAGAAAGAGAAACAGAGAGCAATTGTAATCACAAAAGGAATGAGTATCGTGCGCTTGATATGCAGCATATGTGCACAACATCTAAGTTAACCGATAAAATGACAAATTATATTCAACACATTGTTTTTTATTCTGGTAAACATTTAATTATTCACACCAACCCACTAGCAAGATGTGTTTTACAGACTCTGGCTACTTATACATTATTAAGTAGTACAGATTATAACTTCAAAGAATATTGAAGTAAAAAAATTAACAACGATAAATTATTAAAGAAGTTAGTAAAAAATCTGAATTGAGCTCTTAATTGCTCAATGGTTTCTACTGAATTTTGAAAATGTAATTCGATTAATCTAATGAAGTGCGATGGAAATCTATGTTAACTATGCTTAATTTATTGAATTTTCATTATTGTCCGAAATTATTACATAAGAAATATGTAAAAGTCTTAATTTTCTTAAATATTATGGCATTCTGTTAATCCTTAGTGGATGCGAAATATTCTGACTTAATGTGGAAATTCACTAGTATATCCTGATTTGAATTCTTTTTCATTTGATTAGCTACTCACTCTCAACAAATCTTTTGTGTTTCGGTGTCTTTTCCCCTGATTATGAAAGTTTTATACGACTTATTTTGTCAATAAATCTGTTGTGTTCAAAAATTCAATAGCTGTAGATGTCATTCTTGCTCACTGAGCTAATGAGCATACTTAAACAAACAATTCATCCTGACTTTTAAACTTTAAAATATTATATTCAAATGTTCATGTGTATTTCAGTTTCCTTGGGAAACAAGAAAGTTTTAATGACTTAAGAAGTTTAGTTTAATTTAAAATGCATATGAGAAATGTTCACAAAACATACATCATCAAATAAGCCCTAATCAAAACATCCCAAAAATTCAATTGCGGTTTGTTCAATTTACCGGAATGTTTATTTCACTTAGACCTGAAATCATTTCAAATACTATCAATGAACTAAAATACAAGTGTAGAATTTAGGTTACTTATAAACCAATAAAATACACTGATTGTCCGACCGCAATTTTGTCCATTCTGTGGTTAAATGAAAAGCATCAAATAGTTTTCAAAATAATGTTTTCACGTGAAATGTAACTAATTCGCTTTATTTACTTACAAAATGGAGAAAAAACATTTGATAAATTTTAAAATCATAGCTGTATAATCTCAACCCACTTATATGAAGTTTTAATGATACTAAGGAAATGGCAAGTATAAAAATTGAAAAGTCAAACTGTTTGGCTACCGAAATAATCTCCATTAATGTTCAGTTCCAAAATCAATTTACTAAAGTTAACAATTTAAAACAGTAAATTCATATCACAATCTACCTTTCTTCAACTCAATAGATGTGGATCAATATAGTCACAATCTGTGTGATAAACGCTAAAATTACAAGAAGTTTCAATTACAAGTCCTCGGTTTGAAGTTAGTTTTCATCACAGGCTGACATTAGTTCAACAGCATATATGTATAAATGAATTCAGATTACATCTTGTCGCAAAGATCAGTCTAGTAAAAATATTGAAAGTTGGTCAGTTATATTACTCAGAAAGAATTCACTTACTGAATAGATAAGTAATAAAGAAGTTAACATTCCTTTGAATTATAAACGAAGTGTCAAAGCTTAACGAACATCAAACTATAATTAGTTTTCTACTCAGCTAGAGTTGTAAATTTTCTTGAATAGATCAAGTTCTTATGCTGATGTAACAAGTTAACATATTTGCTTCTGTTTGATGCAGAAATTTCACCATTTAATTCTATCAAAACTATATGTGACGAGTCAACTATTTATACTTTATTCTTTTGGAAAAAATGAATGCAACTTGGTCTGTGAGAAAAAAAGATATTCCAAAAGCATTTTACCGTCCACAACACACCATATGAACAAGCCAAATGTGAATGTATTACACGATATTGCAACAATAAAGAGCATGCAATTAAAATATTGTCCTCATGTATAAGTCCAATTTTGTTTTTATAACACTTCAGACAGACATAAATCTATATTTCCCAATATGTCCCTATTTATAAGTTGACCTATTTAAATTAGTATTAGTTAACTATTTTATGTTGTTACAAAACAACTGTCTTCAAGCAGCTGATACAATTTTTATAAAGATTCCTTTGATTATATTAGCCAGCAATGATCAATATGCGGATTACGTTACAAATTATTAAAGTTTATTAGCATACACTTAACGCGTTTATAAAAAGTTTAGTCGGCCCAAAACTACAAACGGTATTACTATTTATTATTATGTAAACAACGGATAATATAGAAATGACTTTTAGTTATGGGCTGATATTAGCAGGAGGACTAATGACAACTGTTTTATTTTAGTTCGTGACTTCTAAGTAGTACAAAATCTCAACTCTGAAGCCTCGAGTTTAACGTCATTTTTTTAGACCA